CGAGGGCACAAAGCAAGACTGATGCGCAGTTTCGTGTTCCCGCCAGTCAGCACGCTCACCGAACTGCTGCCCGTCTTCTCAATCGTTGTGTCCAACGGCATTTCAAAATAAACAGGAGTTTCATCCGCATTGCCGATTTGCGAGAAAATGTAATTGTGCTGCTTTCGCAGGCCAATTACATATCTCTGCTAATTGAGCAGCTTCTCCTCATAAAGAGCCAGCAAGCGTTGACATATTGTAGTCCGCCATCTGATTGAGAGCCCTTGCCGCTTCATAAAGCGGTGCAGCCATCCGCGGCTCGCACGGAACTCGTGAGGTAGGCCTAGCTCCCTCGAAAGTCGCCGTGCTTCCACTTGGGCCATCTCGGTCGATACGGCGTGACCCCTGCTTCTCACATCTTCAATGAACACTACTAGCTCCGCCTCCAGCTCAAGGTAGGCACCGGTCTTGGGGCCACGAAATGACCTACGGTCGCGATGCGCGGCTTGTAGGCTCTCTTTCTTCTTTCTCCACAGTGTATTGATTCCACGAATCGCATTTTTCCGTCTTCCCGCTTCGCGATTTCCAAATTCCTCGGCGATGGCGATGATCTTAAGCTTTTGCTGTGCCGTGAAGGCCTGCTGCCGTATGCTACTTATGGTGACAGAACAGATCGACTTAGGCTTGGCGAACGAGTCGAGATGTGGAGAACTAGCAGTATCAGCGAGGTGAAGAGCCCTCACACTCGGCGACTTGACAGCACTACCCTTTCTAGTACACTTTGTATACCGTATTTATACGGTAGTACACTGTAACAGCATCCTGGAAACAACAGAACCGAAATACATGCCTGCTACCGTGTCAAAAAGTAGTACATTAATTTACTGATAATATCTGCATAGGCACTATATTATCTCATTTGCCTTGCTGAAATAAACACTGCTTTATTTATTATGGAACTTACTTTATTATGGAACTTACTTAGACAGCACCACCTTTTCAGCAAGCCCTTTCCAAAAGTAAACATGGCGTCCGTGACGTAGGGACATGTGGAGGGTCACTGAGCGGCCGCAAACGTCCAAAAAATAGACTTGTGGTGCGACAGCGAGATTTTACACTGAACAATCGAATTGTCTCTGCCCAAATGTTTTTCTAAACGCTTCAACGATGCAAGCAAGCGAAACCAAAATCGGCTGCAAGCTGCCGTGCTACTTGCGGAGCAACACGAATTTGCGGAAACCGCCTCCGTAGCCTTCGCTACACTGTTAAGAGGCTTCACAGCACAACATGCATTGCTGTGAAGCAGCACTATAGGAAAAACCACGCGTATTATCCGCACCTCCACTTTGCCACTGAATTTTTTGGGTTTTTGGTGCAGGTTATACGCATGAAAATACAATAATATAGGTCGTTCAATGTGAGCATTGAATCGCTCACTTTATTTTACCTAGAGATTGCGTGACACCATATCTTAATTTAAACAGCAAATGTAACAGCGTAGCAATGTTTTGAGCCTAAATGATGTGTTTAGCATTTTGACGTTTTCAGCGTAGTCAGAATGTGTTCGTTTCACAATACTGGAACTTGTAACGAGAACTTGTTTCAAATTTGCGAAGAGACAAGGAACAGGCTTTCATTCCTCTAGTAGAAGAACGTGTACAACACTGGCCTGTAAATCGCAGGGTTGCATAAAGAAAAAAAAGTGGCCACTGACAAATGGGCGAGTACAACTTATGTTCAACAATCCTGCTAATATCGATCTCAACTACGTTGTTGGCAGTGTGCGACATGTATTGCTATTGGTAAGCACAACACACACTTTATATAGGCAGCAATTTAAATGTGCTGCACAGACATTCACTTCCACCTACCTAAGCGAAACGGATTCAAGACCATGTCGCTTGCAAAAAAAAAGAAAGAAAGCACCAGTGCAATCAGCACACTCACATAAAGAAATACATGCAGCACCAATTGGCATCTGGGCACAATAACAGGCAATGCAGGCACTTGGATACCTTGCTGCGCAGACATTCCAAAGTAAACTTGAATGTACGCACTGTGAGCAAGCATATTAGCACAGCAAGAAGGCACTTATTTATAGATATATGGGTTTTAATGTCGCAAACCACCATATGATTATGAGACTGTCGTTATGAGAGAGCGCACGAGGCACGTGCTGGGCTCTGAAACTGCGAGACACCGATGGTGGGCAGACGGCCCATATTCACGTAACGAGATTAGTCAGAAAAAGGCGGGTGGCACGCGACCCGAGCTGTGATAGAAAATTCGCGCAGGATGAGCTGTCACTGTGCTGTTGAGCTTCGAACTGCGAAGGTCAGGAAGGTCAGCGTCGCTACAGCGACGAAAGCAGTAGCGGTCCGGTTCTGAAAATGTTGGCGTAAGAGGCCAGGGAAACGGCCACCGACCTCGGAGGTACCGAGTGAGGCTGCCGGGACTTGACACAACCTTGCACAGCAGCTCCTGGGGGGACTGCAGCTTTTTGAGTTCGAGCCAAAACGAATACGGCCCAAACCAGTCAGCAGAGGGAGTATCAATGAGGCCATAGAAGAATTGGGTTTGACCAAGCGGGCCGAAGATGACGAATAAGACCGGGACACCGGCAATGAAGACAAGTGGATCATCAAGCGGATGTCAAGTGGATCGTCAAGTGTGCCGACAACGACGGCGAGGCGGTGCCACTTCGTCGTAGTTCCGGAAGTGGCATCGGAACAGCAAGAATGTTCTACTATTGCGGGAGCACATGAGAGTAGCCACCGAGGTGCCATTTTGACTAGGAAGAGATTAAAGCTTGGGACAGAACTTGACTTCAATCAGTGTCAGTTACGGTAGCCAATTATTGTGTGCGTACATGTTTCTTTTTGGGAGCGAATTCCGAGTGTCAGATTACTGTTTCCCATTTTGTTTAATATTAAAATGGGTTTGCTGTGTTACCCCGGACTCGCGTCTCTCTCTCTCTCTCTTAATCCAACCCTTCGCAAGCGCTCCCGAGATAAATCCTGACAGAGACACTGTAGTGGAGGGCTTCGGGAATTCCGCCACCTGGGGTTTTTTTTTTAACGTGCACCCAAATCTGAGCACACGGGACTACAGCATTTCTGCCTCCATCGAAAATGCAGCCACCGCAGGGTGAGAACACAAGTGACACACAACACATGAATAGCTCACAATGCTTAAAGTCACACAGCAGGAGGTACATTCTAATTAAAGGAGGACTGACAAAGAACTTTGAAAGCTAGATAACTTGTCGGGTAGATTTAGGTGGACACAAGACTTATCTATAAAACTTGAATAGATAATATAGCATAGAACATATTTGAAACCAATTTCAATGTGTATGTCATAACACTGCATGCAAAACACACATCTGGTTTTCTTTTAAGCAACAAAATGCCACCCTGAGTCACAAATTTGTGCTGGCTGACACAATCCTTGCAAGCGCTCTTCCTTAGCAGACATTTTTAAAGAGTACTTTGAAATTTCTAATAACATAAATTCGAACCGAAGTGAGACCGAATACTCTAATATTTATTCGAATAGTATTCGAAGTGCTTGAATATTTGCACAAGCCTACCATGTACAATGTAGTCTTGTGATAAGTCTTTCACGAGAACCGGGAAATAAAACGTATTATGCAAAGATTGTATTAACCAATAAGGTTGTTCAAGAGCAGCACTAGCCGGGGAAAAAAAAAGGCGCAGCCCGAAGAAAAAGTCCACGCACCATTTATGAATTAAATGACAAGCTGGTGAAGCTAAGAACCTATGACCATAATGTCTACGTTGAAGTCGCTGACTGGTATAAAGGACCGACAGATGTACGGACAAAGGGCGCAGGTGATCCTGTATTGTGCTGTCATATACTCAATTGATGCACACATAAAAGTCTGCTTTTTTACACAGATGTCTTCGTTCTTCATTAAGCAGGTGTTCAGTTTTGGTTTTGTGAAGCGTGACGGACACTGACGAGGACTAGGCCCTGAGGAACTTCACCCCTTCAAAAAAAAGAAACAGTGGCTTAGCTTCCACTGTCATGCAAGGCTTCACATAATGAAATCAGAAGATGCTGAGGACTAATCTCATAGCTTCTAGATTGTTGCCAAGCCTTCGATAGAGGGTGAGGGTTGTTTCAAGGTTTCTACACAGAGCATCAGTGTAGAGGTTCGAGTTGAACTATAGACAGTCGCAGACACGACATGGACGTCCGAAGTCCACAGACGGAAACTCTCGCTGAAACAAAGTGTTAGAACTTCCCAGATTTACAAGCAAGTCGTTTGCGTAAGCCGTCCATCACTTTGGTGCCTTTTTGCAGCCGCCTGCTGCCTTTCTCGATCCCTGGTATATATTTTGCGCTTACTCGAACTCAGACTTGCCAATTTTTCGCTCAACCGGACTCGCTCGGACTCACTAAAATCTTTCTCAATAGGACTCACTTGAACTGAAACTCGCCAATGTATTACTCAGTCGGACTCACTCAGATTCAGACACTTGGCTTCGAGTCTCACCGAGTCTCAGCAGGTCGACTCATGAGCAAGTTTGGCAACCTATAGTTACGAGTAGCGGAACTTACTCAATTTGTGGCACATACCTGGTAGACCTACGCAGGACAGGTGGCATAAATTATGACTACTTTAAACCACTTCACTGTTAAAGTATATCGGGCCAAATAACGTATTATGCAGAATAGTATCGATGAGATTCCACAGCACTTCATAGTCAAGCATGGCTTGAAGCTTACTGCTCATGAGCAAAATCCATGGTAGCAGCTCGCGAAACCGCGACACCTCATATTCGGGTTTTCAACTGAGCAGAAACCCCTGAATAACTAAGATTTCAATAAAGGTCTACCATATATGACTCTTCCTTGGTCTAACCATTCCCATCCACTATAAAGACTTCGAACCCAATAAAGCACAGTCTTAAGCCTCTGTCCTCTGATTCATTCACACAAATACTGATGAACAAGCAAGACTCCAGACAAGAAGCCCAGTAAACAAGACGTACTTGCAGGCGCAGGTACCGGATGTGCAGTTCCACCTTGTGGACACAGTCTTCAAACAGCACTACCATACGCATGGTAGAGGCGCAGCCCTGGATGAAGCGCACGAGGACTCTTGTGATCCACATGCTCCATGTCATGTCCATTTATTGAAAGGATCACGTCTCCTGCACACAAATGCCATTCAGCATTACAGTGAAGCCCCACACATAAATGACAGGTAAGGCGACGACCAATCAGTAAAGCTACAGAAGCAGGGTAGGAGTTGGATCACTGAGGCAGTACGTGTGGAACAAAAACTACTCATGCCATAGATAGCTTCACCTGAGGCAGAAGATTCATCAAAACTTATAACGAAAAAGACCTGCTGCCGGATGTTGTTCGACTCTGATCAGTTTGTAGAATGCGTAGTAATTGCTTGTTATCAGGATGCGTGATTGTATCAGGGGTTACTTTGCATGTTATTTTTCAAGTATGTCACTCCTGTGCTTAAAAAACCGGTTGAAGAAAAGCAAGCAGCCCCTGTGAACTAAAGCTTCGGTTCACGGTCGGGAGAACAGTCCCACCTACTACAGTGGAACCCCGATTACAAGACCTCAGAGGACTACACAAAACAGTCGTATAATCCATGTGTTGTATCATCGAAAAACTAAGAATACAGGCAGTGGCGCTTAGTCTAGCGCAAAAAATGGGCACAGACCCCTTGAATAAGCCCACAACATAACCTTGCGGCGCTTCTCCAAGGAACGTAGATTAAATTATTCTAGGAAATGGCAGCATTACTCGGTTGAAGAAGGTGCGAGCAAATCTGTATTCTTAACTACACAGTGTCATCGCCATCACATTATGGCAATGAACCATGAGTTTACGAGGTTGCGTAGAATACCTTCGTGCTCGGCCGAGCTGTGTGCATTATAATTTGTTGCTTGTGAAGTGCAGCTAGTGATGTCCCGCTGTTAAAATGAGTGTTGGTGTCAAGTGAAAGTTATTTTGCTCGGTTAAAATAGCTGCATTGTGCTTTGTTACATGCTCAAGCTTGTGACTGCGAGTGTCATAAACGAAGGCAGGAGATCAGCTGTATGTTGACCAGGAAATGTTTTCACAGACCGAAGACATCAAAACATTAGGATCTCAGAAATGGCCTTTTTAGCCAGCTGAAGCTACTCAAGACTGAGCTTCTCTAGGCAACGACCCTGTGTACGCACGCGATCAAGGTGAATGCAGAAGTGCATGAACTTCCAGGAGAAGAAATTTTCCATTTTAAGAACACATCCTGTCTCAATCTCTACTTCTCTAATCATCAACCTAGGAGAACGTATGTTCATATTTTGCACTCTTGAGTGTTTTTGGTCAACGTTTGATGAGAGTAAAGGTGATTTTTTATTTCGGACGGAATCGGAAGGTCGTCGTAAGATGTGCGGTCGGCGTATAACTGCGAGCAGAGACTAAGGTGACGGGACCAGTCAGCACAGTGCTATCGTGACTACGGTGACGGGGCCTGTTTAGGTAGTACTATCGTTAGAGTGAGGGGACGACCTGTCAGTCTAGTGCAATCGAAACGGTGATGGGGCCCGTCATAATAGCAATGCAACTATAGCAATGGGCCCCGTCACCGTAAAAGGATGACTACATTGAGGGGCCCCCGTCTATGTAGTGTAATGGTAAAAATGATGGAGGCCGTCGTCGTATATTTGTAGTCGTTTCAGATGCCACCATCTAGTTGTTTTGGTGGCGTAGTTGGTTGGTGCGTAGTTGGAGAAGTCATTGTGCCACAGGTCACTAGTTCGAATTACCCTTTTGTTATCTTTTACTTCTTTTTTTTTTGGTAATGTGTCAAGATTAATGTTACTACCAACAAGGAGTCCTAATTTTGCTTTTCAGCAATAAAATCTTGTCGCTGTATGCAGTAATCGTTAGACCGCCCTACTGCGTGGATTTCGTGACGGTGTCATTAATGTGTGGCTTTCGTTCAAATCGTCCTCCATTTTTTTTTTATTTTCTGCTCTCAGGATACTTCATCTATTGTTTTTAAATGATACGTAATCGTGTTTATTTGTTGGGAATACCTATCAACCTTCTTTTACAAGTAACATGAAATAAACACCTTTCCCTGATGATTTCAGGTATTTCTGATAGATGCTGCCCTTGGCGAGCATATTCTGTTGTATGTGTGTGAATTTATTTTATTATCGCATTGAACAACGACCCTCGGAGGAGCTTCTGTCCCTTTGATTTCGTACCATAGCTCCAACTAATCATTTCTTACACATAATGTGATGTGTCCAAATCAGTCCGTTCCCCGTATTTTTCGTCTCGGGACATATAGGCCGGTTCTAAACGTAGTGCAGGTTAACATAGAATAAGTTCCAACCCTGAGAGCTGTGTAGTTCTACAGTATGTTTCAATAAGTCTCAAAAGCACAATACATATGACTGCAAAACATGTGGCTCCACCTTCGAACCTACTTCGCCTGAAATCACACACACAAAATTCATGTGATCAAATCGACTTCTTTAAACAAGGGGATATGTGCACATCGCTTTCGTCCTGTGAATGTGTGTTATTTCAATTCAAACTTCGACAGACATGCAAGCTCTCTACGGTGCGGTAGATACTTGCGCTGTGGTGCACTCTCTGCAGCTGTCTCCCCATCATAAAATGACGCTTTTTTTGCAATAGCAAGGCGTGTTCTTTATCGTTCTGGGCGATTAAAATGCGAGTATTGAAGGCGTGTGTGACCGGTCATCTGGTTGCTTTAATTTGCGAGTGCTGGCTGGTGCGGCTGTAAGCTTTGGTAAACCACAAGGTGCATCCAAGTTAATGAAATGAATATGAAAGGATGAACATGTGTTTAGCAGCGTAAATGCATACTATGCTGAGGGAAGGTAGCCATAGGGAGCTTGAATGCAGTCACCTTGCGCTACAATAAAAAAAACAGAACAATAAGAAGCCCTCCAATCCATTCAATAAGAGTTAGCACAAACAGCAGCACTATGTTGATAGTGCTGCTAGAATGTGCCACCTCACTATTACACCATTACTGCTGTATTGCCTCAGTGTGGTAGTGTCTGTGCACGCAGTTTTATTGGTGGTGGTGGTGAAAACTTACTACACATGCAGTACTAGTTGATTTCACAATGGGAGAAGCTCAGACTAGGGCTCCGCAGTGGCTGCCACTCAGCGAGCAATGTCAGTCAGCGAGCACCTGGACTCAGTTGATCGTTCAAGTTTTAGCTAGACAGCGTTATCTCTCATCACTCCAGCGCAGAATGTTGACTAACGTGATTCTCTTTTTGAATATTGAAAGCAGAAAAAAAAAGAGAAATGTTTACTCCGCCAGTGTGATTCAAACTGAAGTCGCACACAAACAACGCATCATGTTGCACACCAACAACGCATCCACTGTACCTTGAAAAATCAAAGAGATAGGGCTGTCTAACAACCACCGCTAACAGCGACACAATTTTCTTGCAGAAAAGCAAAATTACACAACTCCTTGAAAGCATCAACGTCAATCTTAACGCACTACTTCGAAAAAATGGAAATTAAAAACATCACATCGGGAATTCGATCAAAAGACCTGCGACATGAACGCTCTCTTAACTGCGCGTCAACCCACTACAAGACCGGAAGAGAAGACTGTGGCATCTAAAATGACTACAAATTTACGGCAATGGGCCACCTAATTTTTACCATTACACTTCAGTGACAGGCCCCCTCATCGTAGTCATTGCTTCATGGTGACTGGGTCCGTTGCAGTCGAGCGCGACTATATCAAACCCGTTTATATCAAATTATCCCGTATATTGAACAATTCCTAAACACGGTAAGTTTATATTGAGAATATATAGCAAAAGTTACTGTTTTGTCGAACGAAAATAGCAACGACAACTGATATATCAAACTCCATGTGCCTCAAAAGTGCCCCAGCAAGTTGGCTTTCCCTCGCGGTGGCTGGGAAAACTGCCGGCACCACCATAGAGAAAGTTGGTTAGACCCGGTAGTGCACGGGCGAACACCCCCCTCCAAGAAATGATCCTGGCCCGCTCGCAGCGCTTACAGCCAATCAGAGGCCGTCGTGCTTTCTCCGAGGCGCGGAGGCAGTAGAAGTGAGCACCATTTTTTCTTTCTCTATGCTTGTGTGCCTGCTGCTGCGATTCAGCGTGGTCTGTGGTGTTGCCTGTTGGTGCTCTGTGAACTGTATTGGCGCGCTGTCATCATGGCTTGCGCAAAGAGGCAAAATTTGCCGTTCGCCGCGAAACTCGAAATCATCAATCGGGTTGAGCACGGTGAAAAGAAGTCCGACGTCGTCGCCGCGTACAAAATTCCAAGGAGCACCTTGAGTACTATCCTGAACAACAAGGCAGACATCAGGGCCAAGTCGGACAAAAGGCCAGGTGCCCGTGGCGCCCGACGTGTGCATGCTGCTGTGTACGAAGATGTTGAAGCGGCCGTTTACAAGTGGTTTGTGGACGTTCGGTCGCGAAACATCCCCGGGAGGTGTCCGGCCCTATGATCGAGCAGAAAGCCAAGGACCTAGCTTTTTTGCTTGGCAGGAATGATTTCCAAGGCGGTTCAGGCTGGCTTCAGCGGTTCAAAGAATGGCATGACATCGTTGGCAAAGCTGTTACAGGTGAAAGCAGAGCAGGGGACCTGGACAGCGTAGAAAAATGGCTCGAGGAAAACTGGCGAGATATCGCAGCAAGATATAGAGCCCAAGATACCTTCAATGCGGATGAAACCGCTCTATTTTGGCAAATGTTGCCAAACAAGACACTTGCGTGTCGTGGCGACAAGACAAGCGGCGGCAAGGCAAACAAAGCTCGTGTGTCCGTGCTGTTGGCAGCTAATTTAGACGGATCGAAAAAGCTTCGACCTCCGATTATCGAGAAAAGCACGGCACCGCGGTGTTTTCGAAATGCGCTGTCGCTTCCAGTTACCTACCAAGCAAACTCAAAAGCGTGGATGACCGGGGAGCTTTTCAGCAGATGGCTATCGTCGTGGTATGATGATTTGGTAGGCGAAAATCGCAAGGTGTGCCTGCTCGTGGACAATTGTTCATCGCACCACTGCAGTGCGACCTTCAGCAACATCGAGCTGTGTTCTTTGCCCCCGAACACTACGTCTGTACTGCAACCACTGGATCAAGGCGTTGTACGCGCAATGAAAGCCGGCTATCGGAAGCGCCTTGTGGAGAGGCTGCTGCAGAACCTTCGTGTCAGCAGGGAGATTAAGATCGACTTGCTCGGAGCTATTTCTATGTTGAGTAGATCGTGGGCAGATGTCAAGAAGGAGACGATCCAGAACTGCTTTAGGCATGCCAGCTTCCGCATGCCTGGTGATGACACCCCAAATTCCGACAGCACTGAAAACACCGCAGGTGTTTCCGCCGAAGTTTGGAACGAGCTGGCAGAGTTCCCGGGTACTATCGACGGATCGACATTCGACGAGTTCGTCAGTGCGGACGATGATGTCCCCATCATGGGCCAATTACAGGATGAGAATTACATTGCAGACATCGTGCCGACCACGAGCCAAAGTGACAGCAATATGGAAATCGACGACGGCCCATTGCCTACATCCTCCGAAGTGATTAGTGCACTTGCGTTGGTCCAGCGCTATTGCTTGAATGTGAAAGATTGCGGCCTCAGCTGCTCCGACTCTTTGGACAACGTGGAGGCGTGCGTGCCATCGCAGGCAGCGAAGTCGGTGACACAGAAAAAAATCCGGGACTATTTTGTTCCACAGTAAGGCACGCAAGTAAGCCACCATATTAATAAAGTACTTTTCTTCTAGTTTGTCATGTGCCTTTGTGTCAAAACCTATACCAGGCTTATATCGAATTATGCCATATATCGAACTAATAAACGTTTTTTGGCGAGTTCGATATACCCGGGTTCGACTGTAGCTACAATCGCTGTTAAGATGGGCCCCCTCACTGTTACCATTACACTATGCTGACTACACGTTGCCTAGGCAAACCCCTCCCCCCCCTCCTCAAACCACACTGCTTGCATAGCATTGGGGTTAATGAGTGCCTAAAACGTGGTCACACAAAGCCACGCACTTGAGCTTAGAAGCATAACCCCTTACATGACGATGCCCCAGCAATGCTTAAATGTTTCACTTGATGCATATATAACAGAAGTGTATTACAGCTTGTATAATTCAGCACAACCTGCATCTTGCTCAGCATATAGAAATTAAGTTTTCTTTTAATGTCACTGTCACCTCACTTTTGAGTGAGCATGTCGAGTCTTACTTTCTTTAAAGACTGCGAAGTTCTTTTAAACCAAAGTACAAATAGTAATAGAAAATCCAACTACTGAAGAAAAACTTTAATACAATGTATAATCTCAGCAGCATACTTACACAGTGTCATAGCTAAGACGAAATAGGGGGGGGGGGGCTGTAGTCATAAGAAAAGTGCAGGAGTTATAGTTCCCCATATGGTTAGAGAAATGCACTTATTTAACAGATGTGTCATCACACTACTAAAGTTCAGCATTATTGATCTGATGCCGAAGCAGTCTGGCAAACTAATTAGCCAACACTAACAGACAAACAGTGAGCTCACCTGGACGCATCCCAGCACGGAATGCTGGCCCGTCATACTCGACGTAGTCTACGTATGTGATAAGTTCAATTTCTCCATCTCGCTTGTGGTGGATGCCGTACGTCTGCACCAGGTAACATTGTCGATGTCACACAGTAAAAACCAAACTAACAAATGTTTACATAAATGCTCAAAATTTACCCTCGCTTCCTTTCTTGCTTTATCAAGGCTGAGCAATCAAACAATCCCAAAAATTGTTGAAACATGCATGCCACTGTCACATGTAACATAGTTTTTGTCGTGTTTGTCAAGAACCTGAGACACTGCCAGTTCTCAGAACAAGAATTGCAACTACTTGAATGTTACATGATAATCCTGAACTTCATTGAACCAATATGAAGGAAGAAAAAGCTACGAAAGTAATCCTTTTTGCAGAAAGGCATCTCCTAGTGCCATGCCCGGAGTAACACACATTTGAGTGAAAAAGTCGTTCAAGTGAAAGTAGCAACCAACAGTATGCAGTGACTTTTGCATATTGAGTTTAACTCATGAGGAACACCTCTGATTTGTATTTAGAAGTTAAAAAAAAAGTAGCAATAGTGGCCGAATGCTAGAAAAAATGTGAAGCTGACATGCATCTAGCTGGTCCCGACTTTTGCAAGGTTACGTTTGGTTTTTGGCAAGTTTTACAGGGTGATGCTTGTTTTTGAAGTTTTTCTTACGAGGCATTACCAAATCACTCTTAGATAGTAACCCAGTTTGACTAAGTTACACATTGTCCCATTAGCCCACACTCAAGTTCAATGCAAGTAGGTGCCACAGCATCAAGGAAGTTCGTCATTTTCAGCCAACTGTTACCGGGTGGTGGTTAGTGTCCATCGTTTATCTAGTGCTGCACTCCTAGTGCAAGGTATGCCAAATTTTTTATCCACGTAAATGAGATTGCTAAGCCAAGGATTGTAAAGTCTGGAGCTGGGTGGACTTTGTTTTTCTTTTAAAGACTATAGTTTTTCTTGGAGACCTTCGACGAAAAAATTTTGGTCTATCTGTCCATTTGTCTGTTTGTTCACCCTTTTTGATGCCCTTAAGGGGGGACGTGGCAAGTAAAACTAATTTTTTTATTAATGTACTGTTTGTGATGAAATTTGGTGTGTGTATGTGGATGATTGTGAGGATTCCAAATATGAAAACCGTTTTCAAATACCTCTTGTACTTTTTGAGTTACAAGCATAATTATACTAATTAATGCTCTTCACACCTAAAGAGATAATTATTGCTAAATTAAATTATTTTTTCATATTAATATGTTCCCAAAGCATCAACTTGTGCAAAGAAGCTATTAGTTGATTTTTCTAGTTCTTGTAACCATAAATAAAATTTCCAAAACATGGATGTTGTTTTGCGCACACATCGCAGTAATTATAAAATGTGTTCTAAAAATTTTAAATGATGAGTAAGAAGAGAGATAAAGCTTTATTGCACTGCTAAAGGCTTCCTGAGTCTAGTGCAAAAAACAGAACGACTCTATCAGTCTTTGTTAGAAAATGACAGATGTTCTAGCGAAGGCACATAGGCGAAAATCAAGAGTTGAGAAAACTGACTTTGAAAGTTCACTCTTGTTTGGAAGTTCACAAAATGCCTAAAACACTCAGAATCCTCCTGGGCAGTAGTCCTGAGATGCTGTGGCCTTGGCCTCTGTAGAGCGCAACCCAGTTTTGCGCTTCTTTGTCGTGGAACAATGCGCCTTTTGAGCCCTCTTTACCCTTTTGGCATCCTTTTCGGCTGCTCGCCGCAAAGAGCAGTCTCCTGGATTGAAGCCCAGTTGAGCAGTGATCTCTTGCAGCGCACTCTTGCAGCCACCATTGAAACGGCAGACTGCATCTGCAACTGCACTTTCCACACTTCGAAGGGAGGCGAACTGGCTCTTGGACTGGAGTGACCAAATGAGGCTGTTCATACTCTCCACAGCGTTCTGGGTTTTTCCCTGCGCACACCTTTCAAGGAGCTCTTTGTTCGAGAGGCGCTTGTAGATTGGCAGCAGTGCCACTCGCACGTGAGGGGGCAGTTTATGTTTGTGAGGCGGCAGCGGCTCTCCCTTGGCCAATGCCTGATTGTGCGGGCACCAGGAGTCAGTCCCACTTGGGCACAGGTCGTGGTGTGGATCCTGGTCTGTGGATGTTACATGTTAATAAGTGGCCATGATGGCCCTCTCCATGCCAGGAACATCGTTGGGATGGCTCTTAATGGCCCAGCCATAATAATTCATCAACTTCTTTATCAGGCCCTGCGTCAGCCGGCCTTTGCCACCCATGCTCAGTCCTCGGCCTTTGGATTTGTGCTCATCAAGAAGGTTGCGCAAGGAAGTTCCCATTCTTTTTTTCACATGGTTCACACACTCCTGTTTCTTAATCACCATGTAGCCATACACCTTGTCTTGCGTGAGGGCAAGGTACGTACGGCTGTCACCGTCGCAGAGCACATTGATGTATCGAAGCTTGTACTTGATAAACGATCTTTCAAACATGATCCTAGCTGCTTCTACTTCCATTTGGCCTGCATTAGCATCGGTGTTCTTTTGGCACTGTGGCTTGTGTTTCTCAAGCCACTCCTCATAGTTGTCGTCACCAGGCTTGGGGCCAACCGCACAGCCTTGGCAGTAGTTGGACAGGACACAGTGGTCCAAGACCAAGCCTGTGTACAGCTCGATTACACAGCCCACGCCAATATGACTTCTGTGCCCCCTCGTCATCCACGTGCCGTCGTAAATGACGTCAATGTTGCCTGGCACTCCTCCTAGGTCCTTGTAAATGTCATGCACCTTCTGTGCACTTTCTGCTTCAATGCGGGTGGCAGCTGATGTGGTGGCAGGGTGGCTGTACTTCCTTTGCAGTCTCTGGTAGGACTTGTGGTGCAGTGCTCGATGCGAAATGTCCATCGCAGAAAAAATGTCATTTATGGCAGATTGTTTTCTGCCAACTGACTGCACAGCCCTCAAAGCACGCACGTTTACCTCAAAGGGGTTCGTTTTTTGTTGCCCGGAGCACCTCGGGGACGACCACGCACTGTTCACTATGCCACAATTGTCACAAAAAAGTTCCATCCTCGCCGCGAGTCCAAGGCAGTGCGTAGTCTCGAGGCGTATCGACCCTTCGTCGCACTTGTTGCACTTTACTGACGAAAGCAGACCGTTCAGCATCTTATTTACAATGAAAAATGTGGAGTCCTTACCGCCGTCATTTTCGTCGCAGCCTTCGTTCAGAAGCTCGAGCTTCCGCTTTGAAGCGGACTTCGATGCTACGGCATCCAAAACATCCCGCCTTGTCTGCGCCCGCTGCGCGATTTCTTCACTGCTCGGAATCTGGGCCGAAACTCGCGATAGAATGTTCGACGCGCGCACGCCCGGAGTTGCAACGGCTGCCGACGCGGTGCCACCGCAATCGGGTTCGCGAGAGCGTCCATCACGGTCGACGGCATCCGGCGGTCTGACATACGACGATGTGGCACCTTCCACACTCTCGGCCTCACAACAATCAGCGAAGGGTCTGAGTAGAGGCTCCGTGACGCTTGAAGAGCATGCTCCGTCCGGAACTGCGACTGGGACGGCAGCCGCAGTCGTCTGCCCTTTGTTCCAAGCTTTCCGACGCTTGCCGTACTTGTGGACGCTCCGGAACATTTTTTTGCGGCAACATAGCACCGCAGTATGAGCAAGCACTCAGAAGAGACCACCGATGTAAACAAAGCTTGGTAAAAAAAGCACGCGAACTATCACAAAAACAGCAAACTGGCAAAAAACGAAGCGCACGCCGGATGATTCTCGACACGGCGGCCGCAGATGCGCTCGCGCTTCCAAGGTTGCCAAGGTGCGCGGCGCAGCTTTGACCAGTAAGAGGTCGCGCCTGCTACCACGTGACCCGCGCAGCCAATTGCCGTTCTTCGTTTTCGTTTTTTTACTTGCTCCTCGCGCTTTTATTTTCACTCGGCGAAATACGAGACCGCGACCATCAAGAAGCTGGCTTTCTCCTCTTTCCAAAGCTACCAAAAATGGCGGCCCCCGGTCAACAACTTGGCGCGTTTGTGCGGCGTGAACAACACCGTTTCAGGGGCTTTTTTTTCGCACTTTTCGGCGACTAGCCTCGGCAAAAACACTATTTGCGGGATTTGTAGCGCACGTTTCGCTGTAATATTTTAGAACAAGGAAGTTGAAGGTCTGAAGATTACGAAAAAAATAAATCAGAAAATCGCATATTTTGACCAAAATCGGCACTTTACTTGCCGCGCCCCCCCTTAAGTTTAAACGGCCTTTAACCCAAACCGCCAACCCCATCTGCAGCACCTACCAATATTGCTCAAGGTTCAACATTTATACTTGTGCGATAGTCAATTAAAAAGCAATTATTGCACATATCTGAGGAACTATAACAACAGGTGAGTAGTTTGTATGTGTGCCTGTTTACTAGAGAAGCCATTTATAAGTAATTCTAAGGACCGTAGCGCTTATCACGCTGCAACGCTTACACGAAAATGCGAGTGTTTCCCACGCTTTACTCAAGACGGCACAGTGGTGGCACCTACCTGTCGCCTTGCGTTCTACACCTTACCACCTCCGAGAAGGACGCGCATGCCGTGTGCGCTTCGTTTTTCAAGATAACTGCCAGATGGCGCTCATGCCTCACGTGTGAGGTGACTTGATGCGCTCGCCTACAGAATGCCATTCACCGATTTTCTGGCGCAGAAGCATCAAATAAATCTTTTGTTCACTCTCTACAGACGCAAGACTATCGTCTTTCGACGACATTTGCAGTATAACATCCAGATACGGGGCCAATTTTTATCCTGTTCTCTTGCCCACCACAGTTATTGCACCCACCAACGGACAAGCTGACGCATACGCTCTGAGAGTGAAGTACAAGATTAAGTGGATGAAAAAAGAATGTGTTGGTTCACGATACTGCTTGCTTCGAATGGACTGTCGGCGTGAACAGCTCTGCCTTAAAACGCAATAAGATATGGTAAATGCTGTTTCTTCATAGGATCTAACATCACTGTCCAGGCAAAAACCGAAGAGACATCAATCCTTACTGTATTTTTGCTGTGCAACAGCACTGCTAGTGTACAGAGGAAAGCTACCATGTATTTAGAAGCACAGTTCGATACGGGCTAAAAACTAGTCGGGTGAGGGTAGATTCGATTGCGACCCTGAAACTCGGCTTGCATTTCTGTTAAAGATGTATGTATGTATGTGTGTATGTATGTATGTACGTATATATGCATGCATGCGTTGACAGCAATGACCCACAACGGCAGAAAGAAAAAAAGACTAACTTATCTGCCCATGCCCAGACATCAAGAGATACCCATCAATCCAGCACACGTGCGGGTCTACTTGAAAGGTAACTGTTAAGGCATTTGATTTCTTTTTTTTATGCGAATTAAACACTGCCTGGCTCAAGTGTATGCTACCACTGCTATACATTAGAAGAGTTTCATTACTGTGCCAACACAAAACTGCGCATTCACCGAATTTTCACATGCATTTACATTCTTTCGACGTAACAAAAGATTAGATGGTGAACTGCCACTTCCACTAATCTCTGCTTCACATGGCAGCTTGTTTCCCCTACACAGATGTGGCCGCACCTAACAGAAACTTCATACACTCCTCCTGTACGAAAATCAGTGAATTTGTTGGCGTGCTTTATGAACCCAATTTCAGTCTGTTTCTGGCCTATTACTAGCTCACTCTTCTATACGCAGCGTCACATATCCTAGCTGGCTTACAGGCAGCCGTGAGAACACCCTTAAGGCCATGTCTAACTCCCAGCCTATGAGATACGTAATGAATTTAAGGAATGCCTACGAAACATTTTTTTCATTGTTGTTAAACTGTGTTTGAGATGTCTTGAGTTCTTTATTGTGTTTGTGTTTACAAGACCAGTCTTTTATTACAATAAATAAAGAAGGCACATTTTCATACCTTGACATGCTTTTCGAAGCCATATACCGAAAAAACTTGCTGAGTGACCAGTCCGAACTCTAGGCACAATATTTTTATCCAACGCCTTCAGAATCATACTGTGCCATCTTTCTGCAGATCTAGAGTCAATCGATTAATTTAAAACTGCATAGAAAGATGAAACAGTGCACATGCATCAACAATTTATATCTCTCACATAAGTACTGGAGCCATGTTATCGCATTCAACAAAGGCAACGAAGTGCAGAAATCAAGCAAAGCTAATGCATTTTGTAAACAAAGTGCTCAATAGAAGCAGTGTAACCTGCAGTGTAAATCCAAAGGAGCCCTTGCGTCTTTCCACGATGATGGTTCTCCGGCGACGGTCTTCATCCGGGCCAGTTACTATCACCCTGTCATTTTTCACCCTCTCCAGGATTTGGTGCTGAAATGTAAAGCCTTTTATTACTGATGGCCCAACAAAGTGCAGACACAACTGGACTATTAATATGAGCAAAGCAAAATTAGTAAAATCATTAGAGACTCGATATCTTAAGGGTTAACCAGAACCAGGTTGGCTCATGTTCTCTTATATTTTGCTATTCGTGCTGGCTATGTATGTCGCATGGAGTTGTGCTTAAGGATGATTATAAATGGTGCTTTATGGAGTACTGTGGCATATAATCCTGTAAAATTTAAAACAGTGAAAAAAAAAAAACAGAGCTGACACAAGATCAAATTAAGTGACAAATGTGAGTTTCTCATCCCTGGCACATTCACAAAGAGATATCGTTATCATTATCCAAGCATGAATACATTAGCTGACATTTGCACTGTGCTCCCTATCCTTACCAAATAAGGAATGTGCACAACAGATATTAAAATCAATGAAATTATGTGCAATTTTGGCCCAAAAGTTATGAAAACATTCATCGGTAAAGAATTATACACAGCGGAAATAAAGGCATACCGGTTGAGCAGACTCTGCAGCAGCTGCGCCTGCACCTATCATAGCTACCTTACGCCTTTGCACTAATGGAATGTGTAGTCGCTCATGTGTAGAATGCGATGCCCTCCCTCTTATTTTCCTTCTCACATCTATTGCGCAGGCCCTTGGCTACCTCTGCATCACAGTCACCTGTGCTTGACATCTTGTCCATCCATTTGTGCACTTGTTTCTATGCTACAGTTGCTAGTGAATCACTCAGAAGTGTTCATGGCATGAGTTAGACTCACAGAATGCCTGGAATTTCAATTAAAATTACTTTCAATCCTTTGAACTTAATCTATAATACATAATTTTCCCCATGGCACTTAGCGAAATAGGGCCTGCCTGCTATTGTTCACTAGCATCATCATGGCATCAAACAGGGGACATTTATGTCAGAACACTGCTTCATCATATCTTGGACACGAAGTTCGCTGTATAAACAATGCCCCTTTGTATGAATCATAACAGAGCTATACAAATTTCCCTCTCCAAAACAATACAGATTAGTTACCCCATGGTACACATAATAAAAACTCCCTTCTTAATACACTCTACCAACGCATATACTTCTTTAACTCAAGGCTCCCTGGGCGCTGCCATAGCTTCTCTCTATCTCTAGGCTGTTGTCAGTGCGCACGATCCGCCCAAAAATGCACTGCCGAGGCTCTGACGTCTGCTTTTGTACACTCGTGCAACAGCCCAGAAAGGAAGAAATCCTCCTCTCCATAAAAGGGTGGATAGCATCAGACTATGGAGTTTCGCAGACATGTAGCGCCGCCTATCAACGCAGTTCTGGGTAGTGCAAAGCCCGACTCCCTTACACCGTTTGCTGTGCAGCCAGGTGCAGCTTGCGCATGTGAAACAACGATTAGGCTAAATATTAAGTGTGTTTGCGCATTGAACACGCAGAAAAAGAGCTACAAACTGCTCTCCGCTACTCGGACCATCCGAACTGCCAGAAGTGCTTGCTGAATGACTTGTCAGAACAAAGGTGAAAACAATCGAGCAGACGCAACAGCTGCGGCTGTGCTCTACGAAAAAAGACCTCAGTCAATGCTACCCTTACGTTGTGCATTGCCATTGACCTATATGATTTCAGTTTTACAAATTTCCATAGGTTTCGCAAAGCAGAACAACGAGAGCGCTAGATATAGGCCGTTGCAAATGTGTTGGGTAAGCAAATTACTTGCGTTCTTCATGTTGTGTGTTTTCTTTGCATATACGTGTTCCCCACTTGGAGGGGGGCACATAGCGAAGGTGGGCTGACAAGAAAGAAAGAAAAAACAAAGAAAGGAAAACGGAGTTATGGAGTCTCAGTCTCGGGCAGGCCCGGGCCCACCTACAGCTATAGTGTTACCACGACGGTACAACTGTGCTTGGTGCCACCGCCGTGGTTTCTCGGCTCCGCAAAAAGAACGCCAATATGTGGTGTGATGACAAACATGCAGCAGAAGGTGAACGAGACTTAGCGAATTGCGCCAGACAGTGAAACCAGACAGACGCTACGTGGAAAGACAGACGCTAAGTGAATGGAAAGCACAGAAGTCTAGTCTATCTGTATCTGTGTACTCCTGTAACTTTTCTGTAACAGTTTGTGTTATTGTTAAATGTTGTCGTCGTGTCTTTCACCCCTCGCAAAGTATTCTATGATAGTCACAACACTCCACAGCCGGTCCTATGAGAAGGTATGATAACGTAGGCCTACTGTTAATTTTTTTAGTAGCCTTGATGGAGAACCGTGGTAACTTGAAATATGATGCCCTAACACAGCCTTTGACTATGATGCGCCTCGTGCAACAGTAGACGCGTGCGATAAACATTACACACGCCACCGCCGATAATCTGAAGTGGTCGCCACCATGCAGCATGGCACGTAAGCTTTGAAGGCTCCTCATTTCGAGCTTTAACTAGCAAATGCGAGCACGTACATCATACAGGTAAATCACAAAATGTTGGTTTTGACCACAACCAGAATTTCCTTGGCATTGGTCTCCGTGACTGGGCAGCTATCTCTGAGGCCTCAGTTTCGTTTTTCATTGTACACAGAGAAAGTGCACGCGCATGTATCCCCACTTGCAGTTGGTATATACAAACGGAGGTCAACCACCTACAGAACATCCTAGAATCCATAATAAAACAGTTCCATGCACAGGAAGTGAGAGATGAATGAAGAATGCAACTGCAATGGCACAAATTTCCAGGGCCATTCGTGCCACATAAAGCGAGCTTCGTACTACTCATCATAAGATGCATTGCTCGTGTATGCACTTCATCGCTTTGGCATCATGTGTGTGCCCAAATTTAACGCATTTAGGCGTTACAGAACCCACGTTGGAGTGTTTGCCTCAAGCTCGATATCATACACTGCTCTCTTTCACCTAATTTTTGAGTTACAGAACGCCGAAATAAATGAAACATCTTAAGCATTGTAACCGCAGCTCTTTTGATGAGCTTCATACTTTTCTCAAGAAAGGCTGGATCAATAGAAGAAGCTTGCCAGGCACGCGATTTTCAGGAAACCACGCCTCACCATCAACGAAGCGGAGAGCTTATGCATCGCTTGCGAACAGCTCTTTCCACTACCCAGTTATGGCGGATGCGGCAATGAGGGTACTAGTGGCAGTGTTTTTCACAGGGCCGCCTGAGCAGAGTTCGACGTTATGTAGCATATCTCTGCCACTCACGAGCATATGGGCCTTTCCAACAAGGTCCTAATAAACTCGCTAGTCTTTGTATTTTACTGCTTTTAAAATGTGGTTGCATCAAGCAGTTGTCATGTCAACCTGCAATTTAGTACTCAGCAGCATGCTATAACCATTAAACTGCTGATAGATGGCCTGTCTAGAGCTTTCTTAATTGTTGCATTACTAACATAATCAAACTTGGTAACATTTCTGTGACGTTACAAGCAAAAACAGTATTAAAAATAATAAGAGACACCATATTATTGAACTTTTCTTGCCAAGGTTATAATGACGGTAGTATATACCGTCATGAACTACAGTAGGCCCTTGCCTTTGAAGATGTGACTGTGTTCATCTGTTATAAACACCTTTGCCTTTTTTTAGGTGATGCTCCTCTACCACTCTTGCAAATGACATGCTTCCTACATTACCTTAAACAGTTTATTTTTATGCTTCTCTAAGCAAAACTACTCCATTACGTATCCCCAACTTTATGGTACTAAAGCATCCACTTAACAGTATTCTAAAAAACAGTTGCAAGTGAGCGCGCATCCTGTCTACAGGTTTCTTCGTTTTCAGTGAAGTCGTGACATTGGTATGAAATTGACTATTGAATTCGCACATGCACCAACAAGCCCAACAGCGACTACTACTACAGTATTCTACAGCTTGTTCAGATTTCCTTCTGTAAACGCAATATGCCGCCACTACAAGCACAGCTGCATAACTCGTACTTGAAAACGCTTTTTGTTGTTGGTGTCAAAATCTGGCTTACGGCTGACAACAGCTGTAGAGCACAATGCATAACATTAAAAATAGATACACTGATGGGCCAGGGTAGGTCCGCTATTCATTATTTAACGCAAGCGCTTTTTCGGCTGTGAAACAAATTTACGTTAAGGGCCCTTCGAAGTCGGCCACGAATATGTTAAAAAGTTATCACGGTGTTTTACGTTCAGCACCTCAGCAAGTACAAGCAGAGAGGTGGCACACAAGGAAAATGTACGCACCGCGCTCACTTTCTGCGGACCACGCATGCTTCGAGTGCAAAAAAAAAAAAAATCACAGCAGGAAGCTGGAGCCAACAGAATGCCTGCATGTGACCACAACGCAAGGCCACTGGCTCTATTCCAGCGTCTTGACACCAGGGTCACGCGCACAGCTCGCCGCCAGCAAAGACACTCTTTCACCCTTCCTATCAGCAGAGCAACGCTGCCTGTATACAACCTAATTCGACAGCGATACAACAAGAACTTCGGAGTGATCGGATTACAACCCCGGTATCACGCCTGCCGACTTGCGTCAGCACACCCCTCGCCTTCGAAACATCGTTCGTACTACTGTAGCGAGCAAAGAACCCGGCAAGTTTCTAGGTGTATACCTCTGAGTCTTGGGACACCATAACGACGATTCGCAAGCGGCCAACAGGTCAAGGCGCAACGCACAATACTGCGTTGTCGTGCGGAGCTCATTGTATTGCGGTTGCCCCATCACCGCCTACCTAATTATCTCCTGCGAGCCCGCGATTAGCCCCTAGTAGCAGCTGTGTTTCTGGCACATAGCCAAGCGCTTTTGTGTGCCCTGTGCTGGTATTTTTCGCCTGCACGCGAATGCGCGCCTATTGAAACTACTCTGGTGGGGATCCGGCCTTGGTGGCAAGCGAAGCGTGAGGAAGCGACGGACAGTTTTTGCGTCAGTGCAACAAAAAACGGGTAGCGGCTGTTTCGGAACCGACCTCTGTATGGCACTGTGAGAAGAAGCTGCCACGTCCTCGCCCGATGCCGCTTTAGTGCGATAAGGGCATACGCCGATGTGGTTACATAACCTGCCGGGCAACTGCGGTATAAAGCAACACCTGAAAACTCGCCAACTCACATTCGGCAGAGACGCGGCTTCGGTGCGCAAGTGAGCAGTAAACACCAGCAGTATGATTCGTCTAATTAAGCGGGCCTCGAACTTAATTGCAATGAAGAAATGAAACTAACAAAATACAACACGTCACCTTCGAAAATTTAGGGTGCAATCACCTCGGACACATTGCGGAAAAGAATACTTCGTGATCAATGCTTTCGCCTTTTGACCAGCGATTGTAGCAAGTGTTTAGCAAGTGTTTTACACTTGCTTCACAGCGTAGAACACATTGAAGAAATTAGCGCTAGACAGTGCGAAAGAGAAACATCTGATGCGCGCATACGCCTCCCTTCTCTGCAGCACTTACCTGAGACGTTTCAAGGCTGGCGAGGACACTGCTGTGCCCGTGATGGTGGTGTCTTCGATGGTGGTGGTGACGCTTGCCATGTTTCTTGCTCACTTTAGGCGACGACATACCGCCGCCGACAAGCATTGTGCGCACGCTTAGTAACTAAACGTGCGAGCCATTTCATCACACACCGCCAATCGCAACACCCATTATCTACTTCCGACGCCCGCAGGCAGTCGCTTAGCTACGACCACCACAGCGCCCGATGAAGTGCGTATGTTTATGGTTTACCCACAGAAGAACACCTACATGAAACACCATTTGGTTTATCGCTTAGCTTGCGCTCGACGCACCACGAGCGGCGAAGCCCGCAAGCTCTTTGTTACAACTTTGTTAATAATAAACTTATTTCACTTCAATCATAACTGGTGTAGAAACTTTTTATTACGTAAGATAATTTAATAAATAAAAATGTAATTATTGATAGTAAACTTGAGCAGCCACAAACCTCAAACAAACAGGTTGTGGCTCAAAACACGCAGTGTCAGTGGTATCAACAGCACGGTAGGGTTTGCAGCACGTGGTTTGCAGGATGTATGTGTACAAATTATCGCGCTTTGCGTAAAAGAAGTAAGACGAGCTGAAACGTGCATTGCATATGCGGCAGCGAGTGCCTGGCCGTTAACCTATAGAAAACATGAGCCCCAATAAAGCAACCTGTCCGCGTTAAACTTGTGAAACGTGTGGCAAGGCATTTGTCAAGAACCTGAAGCGCCACAGCCGCGCAGTTCATTCTATACATGTGCCTATCGGTAGCCGGGGTAGCTTCAAGTGCGACCAGTGCCCTAATGTCGCATACCATTTTCGCGAACCGCTTCTGGAGCACCTGATCGAGATGCACCAATTTGAGTACAAGTACGAACAGCGACGGTTTCGGTCTTGGCAAGGTGATAAAATCTCGAGTGAAGTCTGTGTTTAACTGACAGTGTGCTTGTAGGAAGTAGTAGGGCGCATTGAAAATACGCATGCAGATGTAGATACGCTTAAGTGTTGCTGAACAAGTTTTTTCTACTTTTGCAACTATTCATTCTCTTCTCTATGTCAATAGTTCTATCTTGCAGTCATAGTGCTACTACCTTATCATGCTTTACGAAAGAAGCTGGCTTCAATCGTTCCAAATAGCTAGTCGTGGTCTTTCCTAATTTGTTGCCACTGGTACTTGACATTAGGAAGTTTTCGAATAGGGTCCCCAAAGCGATTCGCGTATGCCCGCTTTGGGTCAAGCAGGAGCAAAGAGTTGTCGAATAGGGTGTGCGGCACTTAGGATACTCTCCCATTTCTTCGTCGTGTCACTTCAGTGGGTACCATCACGTGCTCCTGGCGCAAAGATTTAGGGGCAGGCTTTGGTGCTTCCACTAAATTCGAGAAATAGCATCCCCAACTCAAACGTGGTTCGCATTTTGTGCATGCGCAGTGGTCTTGACGCTATTTCTTTGGGGCCGTAAACTTTTGGGGCCCCTATTCGAAAACTACCTATTGACAGTGACTCCTTTTTCGTATATCCTTTCCTCTCGCACTCTCATTGTATTTGTGGCCGTATTCTCTGAATGCAGCTCCTTTAGTATTCAGGACACAAAAACGCGTACTTTGGTTCAGTGTACGTTGTCCTGACATTTGGATCGTTGGTTATTCAGTGTTACTTTTTTCAGATTTCTGCCGCTGGAAGCAGGATGAAGAGAGAAAGTGTGCTTTGTCACCACCACCAGCGGGAAAACGATGAAAGGCGGTCGCATCAAACGGTTGTATGTGTGTCATCAATCTGGCAGTTACATCCCCAGCGGCAAGGGTCGTAGGCAGCTTAAGTCTCAAGGTAGCTGCAAAATTAACGCGCACTGTATGTCAACACTGTCCACCGTTCAAAACATGCAAACTGGCATTGTCACGCTTGTCTACCAAAAAAACCGTTATGGGCATGAGATAGACCTTTGCCACTTGCGGTTAAGCAAGGAGGAGAGACAAGCCATTGCGCAGCAACTTGCTCAAGGCGTGCCTGTTGAAACTGTGCTGAAGAGTGTGAAGAAATCTCTTGGGAGGGAGCTTCAGAAAATACACCTGATCACCCCGAGAGACCTCTATAATAATGCCAGGCATGAACTTGGGGTAACATTGCCTCAACTAAGGAGGGACTGAATGCACCATACTTGAAAGATGTGAAGCTTGAGCTGCCTTCAGAGTCGTCCAATAGCTGTTCGTATTATTTGGACAAAGACATCGACGAATCTGCTGACCATGCACCTGAAGAAAACGGAAAACCATCTCGTTAACCTTCCTGGTGTTGGATTCCAGATCAGCAACCAGCTTCCACTGTCACCCGTAGACATTGGCAAGCAGGGTACTGCACCATTGGTCTTCACTTCCTTGATTCCAACTGATCAGAATGGAAGTGTTATCATTTTCAGAAATTCTGCAATCACTCATGCAAACCAAAAGCAACTCAACATTACCTTCCTTTAGAGACAGTGAAGCGAGATGGAGTGGCACTCAACCGAGCCTATTAAAATACAACAGGAATGATATTGAACCGGTGAAGCAGCTTTGCTCAGATAGTTACTCCCCTAGGAGTGACCATTCACTACCAGCAAGCCAGGCAAAAAAAGGCGTCTTAGAAGCAATGCACTGATCTGCACACGGAAGATCACCAAATATTCTGGAAGCGAGGACAAGCTTCATCACATAGAAAGAGAGATTCGGGGACTCACTCATTTTCTGGACTTTGGAGTGGTTAATTGGAAGACTGGGGACTGTGGAGCAATGGAAGAAATAAGTTTTGGATGATGAGGAGGAGCCTCAATTACAGGACTTGTCAGAATCATCGTACTTTCGAGACACGTCAGAGGGCCAGAGCACTTTTACAGCTGAAGCAGAAGAGCAAGCCATGTAGGCAAGACCATGTGTACTCGAAGCTGAGTGAATGAGTGCTGTGTACTGCCTTAGGAGAGTTATGAATACTGACTCGTGAGATGTTTATCGGAGGTCTGTTTTCTTTTTCAATAATGAGTGGTTTGGTGCATCATTGACCAGAGCTCCCTCTGGGCTGCGCAGCTGTTGCTGCATCTATGTAGCTGTGTTCTTGTGAGTTATGTTGTTGTTCATCACTGTAGCTTTGTAGTATCGAAGAAAGTCGCAATAATATATTTTGGCTCGGGTCACTTGTGTGGCAGCTAGAGCACATTTCCGGCAAAGTGAAAATTTTATGTTTCAACTGGACTAGTACTTCAGGTTTGACACAAAACCAGTTGTCAAGGTAGAACATAATTTCTTCAGTTGAATACTGTTGGTAACTCCTGAACTAATAAGTTGCTAGACATGCAACATATTACTGTGTGTTTTTTTTCATTGCTCGTTCATTTGTGTTATCTTTTTGTTCCTCAGACTATAATATATTGTCATTACAAAAAAGTTTTCTTCTCAGGTGTGGTGTCAGTGACATCAATAGTTGTCATAGGGCAGCTAAAAGGCAGTTTTGGCAGAGTTTTTGTGGTTTGCTTTGTCTGGTGCTGTTTATGCCAACACCTTGCATGCAACAGCTCAGTGGGAGCATGAGTGTCTGTAAGCACAGTGCCCATACTGGCAGTGCAATGTACATTGTTCGCAGAAAGAAACATTTCTTAACTTGTAGTATGACAGCCGGGATTCCCAACTCACGGGTGTAACAGCTGTGCAAATTGTTCCAATTTGATACAATTCCCTATTTATGCGCCGAACTGTGTCAAAACGATGAGATTTGCTGAAATTGCACCGCGCTGTGCCAAAATATTTGACTAGCCTCAAAATTTTCTCAGTTGCACGAATTTCAGCGAGAAATGGGGGCGATGTAGGCCACCTGTGGCTTGCATCCACAGTTATTCAATCATACCAGTTGTGAAACTCCCCAAAGGCTCCATGTATACAAATTCGCACACGTAAGTGGCCCTGACGTCAGGAGTAGACAGATTGTCGCCCCACTTTTTGATCAGCGTTCTTGCTATAAAACGCGTTAATTCAGCGAAAGCTGTTATGAGATTACAACAGGAGTCGCGCACGGCACTGTAGTTGTCTGTGTTCCCGCCAGTGTCTGTAACCACTATTGCACGAAATAAGAAAAAAACAAATGAAAAAACACGAAGGACATAATCGTATTCGATCCCGGGTCCACTGCGTGCCAGCCCAGTTTTCTACTGCTGAGCTATGCCGGTGCTTGGGACTCGGTCGTGAGCTTGCTTTAGGCAGGCTTGATGATGGGAGAGGAATTGCCTTAATATGAGTGATAAAGCATTTTAGAACAGCAAGAAGAGAACCAGGTGTCACACAATGCTAATTGTGTAATGAGTAGGTCGTGCGATGCTCCAGCCTATTACAACAGTTTGTCCATCATCAGTTATTAACTGTGGGAGATACCCACTTCAGGCGTAGTTCTTCATCGTTGTCAGCCACTGCAAGAAACAAAAAGTTCGCACAACATTTGTTACAAGTGTTTAGCGGATGCCACGCTTCTCTGAAGAATGACGAAGGATAGCATAGTGAATGTCGGCCTACTACACTGAAATTATTATTATTTACGGTGGAGTAGGTACCCAGCAAGTGCGCTTCTAGCATCTACCCAAAGAATCTTAAGAAGGCTCTAAAAGGCCGGCCTTCCAGCATTGCTGTGCTGTGAGTTCTGTGCAGGCTTGGTGATTTTTACAGCGAAAGCTGTTATGAGATCAAAACGCGTGTCACGCGCCGCCATGGTTGTTTGCTGTTGGTGTCCATAACCACAACATACAAAATTAGAAAAAAGAAAACCTAGTACCAATGACACAGTGCGGCTCAAACTCAGGTTCGCTGGGCGCCAGCCCAGGATTCTACGACTGAGCCATGCGGGTGCTTGGGACTTGTTGGCAAACTTGCCTTGAGTAGGCTAGGTGTGGGGAAAGTTATCCTGTTAATAGTACTTATAAAGTGTTTTAAAACAGCGAAAGAACAAGCAGTTGCTGCACAATGCAAATGGCGTAGTAACAAGTGAGTCGTCCAATACTCCAACCCATTACAAAAGCTTGTTCTTGTTCACCCATTAACTGTGGCGCATACCCACTTCAGGCACAATTCCTCATCATCACAGCCACTGCATGAACAATTGGCACAAAATTCCTTGCAAGTGTTTGGTGCATACCACACTTCTCATAAGAATGACGAAAAATAGCATAACGAATGCCAACCTAGTACACAAAAATTTTTATTATTAATGCCTTAGTGGGTATAAAGCAAGTGTGCTTGCAGCAATTATCCAATGAGTGT